GAGAGAGAGAGAGAGAGAGAGAGAGAGTAGTGAATTGGTGTAACAAAAACCAAAGAGAGGAAACTATCTATTTATAGTTCGAGATTTTGACACTCACTTCGTGAGCATGCATGGATCGCGTCGTGAGTTTGGTCCTGATCATCCCGTAGCTTTGCCACACGCGTTTCTTGCTCCGAAAGGTGTCCGGATGACTCCCCATGTCGTGAGAATTCAAGCTCACATCGTGAGCTTTTAACGAAGACTTTTTGTGTGTCATCTACTCTTGAAAAGAGGCATTTTGACTCCTCACGTCGTGAGTCCACTCAGATTAGGGTTTCTGTCACACGTCATGCTCTCAGATAGTTGTATCTTCGGAAGGTCATAACTTTTGCATATGAGCTCCATTTTTGACGTTCTTTATATCCACGTGTAGGCGGAGATATACTCTAAAACTTTCATTTATATCCATGCGTAGGTGGAGACGTTCTTTATTACTTTTTACGATTCCCGATGTCGTGCCCTTTTTGTCGCGAAACTTCGACAGGTCATAACTTCTTCGTTATAACTCGGATTTCGACGTTCTTTATATGTACGAAAACCTTTTGAAATATAATAAAACTTAGTTAAGATTATTTTTTCTAAATACTCCTTTATCAAAAAGTCATTTTTGAAGCTTATGATAGCTTCATTTTATTTACTTCTTTTTATAGTTTATTTAGTACATTTCATTCGCATTTTAGTTAACTTCCATGCATATTTTCCCTTTTGTTATTTTTATGACCATTTCGGGGTACTTTCTAGTTTCTTGAGCATTATTGCAGATTTTCTTGGAAACTAGCGGGGCGGTACTCATGGGAGGCGATTGGGCTTGAAGGGAATTGGGGATTTCGTGCTTGATGGCTATGAAGGTGATTCATGGGGTGGACTTGTCAATTGCCTGAAGGCTTGGAAGAATTGAGCTTTAAATTTGAAAGACGCGGGAGAATTCTTGAGTATGCAAGATCAATATTTGGGAGTTTCCGGAAGTTTTGAATGATGTGGATAGACAAATTGGGCTTAAATTGAAGAAATATTGAAGAAAAATGGGCTAGAAGCTAATTGGACTCGAATTGGGCCAATGGATTAGCTGTGGGGGCCCAAAACTTGAAGAAGCCCAAAAATGCCGTCAGTATCCGCGACCCGCGTAAGATTCCCCGCGGCCCGCGTGGATTCCTGACAAGGGAAATTTCGGGATTTTGCTAAGAGCTCTATATTGGGAAGGTTGGTGTGCCTCTTTAGCATTATCTTGGAGGTCCGATTTTGAGACTTTCTCTCTGGAGTTTGGAGCACTTTTGGAGGCCAAGAACACTTGAAGAATATCTTCTTTTCACCTCTTGAATCTTGTCAAATGTTTGGTACAATCTTATCTAACTTTGTTCATTTGAGTTTAGCCATGCTTGGCTAAACAAATCTTGGTTGACTTTTTGTTGAATCCTTTGAACTTTTGTTGGATGTTGAAGAATCTATGAACTTGTTCTTAAATCTTTATGGAAATGTTTTGTGTTTCATCATATTATCACTTCTAGTATGTTTTTATTCATCAGTTTAAATATGTTTGTGGTGATTAGTTGGCTAATTTCTTGATTAAGTAAATGATCCTCAAATTAGGAAGCAACAAGTGATTTTTGTGTTGTTTTTGCTTCACACAATCATAAAAACATTTCCTCCAACATGGTAGTGAAAGCAATTGACTCCTCTTGGATTTGTTGACTTTTTGGTTCTTAATGCTAGTTGACTTTCACTAATTACATGTTATTTGGAATTAGTGACTTTGACTAAGGAAATTGTAATGAGCTTCTCTTGCCATTTCAACAATTAAGAAAAGTCTAGGTAGTCTCAAGCTCCTTGGATTACTATAGCCAAATTAAGGATTTAAATCAAAGTATTGCACCATTGGATTCTAATGGTATGTTCATCAAAAGTCAAAGTGAGGAAACTTTAAGTCAACCATCTCTCCCTTATTGATTTTACATCAAACTCTTATTTTTGTTGCATTTGTCTATTTAAATCATAGTTAACTCTAGTTTGTTTCAAGTATTTCAAAACACCAAAACCCCACATTTTATTTTTATTGTCATTTTACAAGTATTTTTACAAAGAGATTTTTCATAGAGTTATAAATTGAACCAATCTCCGTGGATTCGATCCCTTTACCACTATACACTATTTTAGTGTGTAATATTTAGGGTTATTATTTGTGTTGGCCTCGACAACCACCAGCTTATTGTCTCTAAATTGACTAGTCTGAATCTGCGGGCGTTACAATTATCTCCCCCTTAAGACGATTTCGTTATGAATTCACTGGCACATGATTGAAGTTTGACCTAACTTGTTCTAGAATTTTACAGTTGTCACATCTAGGCCCAACACTTAAGGCCCAATATGAGATTTAGGCCAAAAAGCCCACAACGAGATTATGCAGAGCGTACCTCCCTTGGTACGCTCAGCGTACACATGAATCCTGATCGGGGACACTAGATCAGTACGTGGGGCATAATGCTCAGGTCCAGAAACTCCATTTTCGACTTAACCACTTCAACCCAAAGCATCCAAACCTCAGGGAAGCTTTGTTACAAGCTCTTAACTGATAAAGTTGGCGACTTTATCAGTTTGCATGTCTTACTGGGACCTAACTTCCAAAATAACCATTAAGACTCTTAAATCCTCTTAACACATGAATGAAGAAATCTAAACGACCAAGTTCTCATTTTTATGAATTAAGGCAACCCAATACACTAAAAAGGACAGGAGATTTGCTTTGGAGTTCACCAAACTCATAAAGCTTCTAGCTTTGGGACCGAAAACCCTAAAATGGACCATAATTTGCACAAATCAAAAAGGATGAGAAAGCTTTGAGCTTTATACCTTCAAATGATGCTCCAACCACAAAAAAGCTCAGATCCAAAGCCTGGACTCCAACTGTATTCTCTTCAATGCTCCTTCTTCACTCAAGAATCCCACAAGAACACTTAGAAGCTCACAAATTGTCACTCAAGCTAAAGGGATGAAAATTACGGTTTTGAAAGGGTTGAGGGCTGGAAATTGTGGCCAGAAATGAGGCCATCATATTCTTTAAATAGGGTCACTTTAAAATATTAGGGTTTACATTCTCTGCCTAGTACGCCCAACATACCCTCTGGTACGCCCATCGTACTAGTGGTCTCCGCGTTCATGCTACGTATATAAGTATGTTACGTGTACACATACTTACGCCCTGCATACTCATTTGCCACCCATTTGTCAATAAGGACTAAACTTGTCAAAACTTCAAATTATCATGACTTGTTCGTTATAAGTCTGTTTCCAACGAACCTCATACCTACAGAAAAGTGGCGAGAAGCCCTACGCTTCTAGCAGCTCGTCGAAGCCTTAAGGCTTCCTCTCACTAGGTTGTATCCCACGAACCCTAAATCACAGACGATCCGAAACAGGATGTTACAAGTATACTGCTATTTAGGGGCGAAACCCTTGAACCAATGGGGGTCCGGGGGCAGCACCCTTGGGAATGGGGTCCAAGAGGCGGCAGCTCCTTGCGGGCTCCAAGGGGCAGTACCCCTGGCTGGGGTTGAATATTCTAGACCCAGATTTAAGTTGGTTTATGATCGTTTTTGGACAGTTTTAGGACATAATATTGTCATGTGGCAATTTTAAGACTAAATTTTTTCTTGTTATATGGTCATTTTTTGGTACCCTTCTTCTTCATAACATCTTGAACATTATCTCTTCTATTTCTCTCATTTTTCGAGTCTTATCCGCTTAAAGATTGGGTGTACCACCTAAATACTTTAATCTGAAAGTATTATACACGATTCTCAGAATTTCAAATTTTTCTATACCCCAAATTTCTAACACATATTATGTTCTCAAATAAATGTCTATCAATCAAATATACATACTTTAATTAACTATCAATTACATACCAATCCAACAATCATTAAAATTTCTAAAATGAATTATAAAGAATGCTCGGGGTAATTCCCTTCTTTGCAAATTACTATTTCTATTTTTATTTTTATTTTGTCGAAATTTAGTCATTTATATTACTAAAATAGATATAAATAGTAATTAATTTTATCAGATTATATAATTTAAACCAATAAACTAAACGATTAATTTCTTGATTTTAAATGAGAAAAAAGTACTTGATAATTCCAAAGATTGCTCCTCCTACAATCTTCCAGTTAAGCAAAAGGAACAGTCCCCCAAAACAATGAAAGACAATATTTTTTTTAGTGTTATCAATATTAAGATATATATGAACAAGATCCAAGTTTCATTGCCCCATTTTCGTGTGTGTATATATATATATATATATATATATATATATATATATATATATATATATATATATATATATATATATATATATATATATATATTCGTGATACCTTTATTTTGTTATATTATACTCACACGACGGACTTATAATGAATTATAATTTAATCATTAAAGTTAGATAAGTAGATAAACTTGCAAAAAATTGTTAGGTGGATTTTTAGTCATAACACATAGGTGAAAGAAGAAAAAGGAAGTGAATTTATAATAAGCAGGAAGACTTCTAAGTCTTATAAGATTTACAGAACCAAGCCTTTTTGCAAACCGAAATGTATTGTGGGTGAATTTGTTGTAAAAATTTTTGTGTATGTGTGTAAAAGAAGCTCGCATCTTATTAAAAAATGAATGAGGTTACTTTTATTTTCCTAAAAAACAGAACATCGCATTTGTTTGGATATTAGATCGTCGCTTGAACCAACATAAAATTACCGTCTTGCCTAGGACCTTAGTTAAGGAGAATAGATTATATGTCGTTTTTATTTAAAGAATTAAAAATATATTTATAGGTTTTAGTGCGGATATAATATATAAAGCCCATAGTTTAAACTAACTAATATAAAAGAGACAAATTTTGTGCACTATGTACGTAAAGTGTACGTGAACTGTGATTTTAATGACTACTGATTAGTTTTTATATAATAATTAATGCCGGTAATATTATAAATCGAGATTCAAAAGGGATGGGAATCCTTCAACTGCAAATATTTGTACAGAAAACAGAAACAGTTAAATGACTTCTCTACACACATCAATATCTTAAACCTAATACTTCTCCAAATATTAATTAGCTTGGAAAAAACCAAATTAAAAGTGAAATAAAATAAAAACTTCACCCTCAGTAATAACCTACTTCATTCCTTAATTTCTCCTTGGTTAATTCACTTGTATCGATTGCTTCCTGAAAACGAAAGTAGTGAATGTCAATGATTTTGTCCATGGTCAAATAAGTCTCTAGTACTTGATTAAGGTCATAATATGTAACGGTATGCAAAAAAAGATGTACACTTTAATGCTATAATTATTGAGTAGGGTACATAACGACACTTCAATTCACCTATCGTGTATTTTCCACTTAACAATGTCACAAAATATATACAAGATAATAGAGTTGAGTTGTCATAGACCCTACTTAACAATGGCTTCAAAAGACAGTGACATTTCATAAAATTAATATTTTATGAAATCCAATCTTTTCAAAAGCTATTGACGATTAAAATTTGTATTCTGAAATTATTTAGAAAACAGACAGTTGCGCGGGCATTCTACATGTTAGCATGGTTAATTACTACTTAAATATCAAAATATTTATTAAATCATCCTCCTTCATTTCGTTACAAACTAATTATTACTTTTTGTATAAATAAACATCAAAACACTATTGTTTACTAGAAAATGCAATTTTGAAATATTATGGAAACATAAATATTGTTTGCCATGCACGCCCATATCCAAATAGGGGGCTGTACAGTTTTTTTTTAGTAAAAAAATAATTAAATTGTTTTATTTGAAATGTTTGAATACGCCATGGAAACAAACTCAGTATAACTCGATCGTTTTTACAAAAAATAAATCAAATAAGATAGTAGAGAAGCATGCATGCGAACCTGTGAACTTTGGACTGTAAAAAGTAGGCTTGATCTTTGCTTCATCAATGGTCTCTAACCCTCCAAGATTCTTATGATCAGTTTTCCCATTTTGTGTTTTTCGAAGTCCAAACTTCTCTCTCCACCATCCTGTTGAGCTTTTATGATGGAAGAAGACGCCATCACCGCCATCATTATCATCATCATCATCATGACCTGCAAGAAGCTCATCTCTGAGTGTTAGCCCCTGCTTCTCCTTCAAGGGTGGAAGCTTGCCTTTAAAGAAAACCTCATCTGCAGAGTTTGAAGAGAAAGAGGGAACGGAAAACTCGAAATCAGAAGAGACCGGAGCTTCTGTGTAACTGTTTTCATGGTGGTTTGATTCAACGAAATCGTTTGAGAAGGAGATTCTTGGGCCCATGTAGCCTCCTTGTTTTTCATTGTTTATCTGCTGCATGTTTAAGCATGCCATTGATGACATTCAGCAAAATGCAATGGCTTTCTTGTTTGAAGTGGGTAGTGGTTGTATTGTTGGCCCGCTATTTATACGCAACTGCTTTTCTTTTTACTTTTTTTTTTTTCGTTATTTTATTAAAAACATGATTTTTTTTTTTATATCGGATTTAAGTAGGCAGTGACAAACGGGATGAATTGAGGTAATATTTGTATTGGTCAAATTAGAGAGGTTAATTTGTGTGATTAGGTTTACTTGAAACACTTTTGGACAATAAATAATTAATAAACATTTGCGTATTATATTAAGGAGTAAGTGTTTGCACATGCCAAAACGAGTCGCGCTAATAAGGGGGTGGAATTGAAAGATCAAAAACACTTTTTGTAGTTCAAATATTATTAATAATAGTTTGTGTATTAGCAATTAGCAAAGCAACTCTTTTTATGTGTTAAAATGGATTATGCGGGACGTTATTGACCCGAAATATTTTTGTCCAAAAACTTATATATATATATATATATATATATATATATATATATATATATATATATATATATATATATATATATATATATATATATATATTACAAAATTTATTATATTACCTGCCAAGTATGTCGTACCATTCATGTTATTACTAATGATAACGAGTTAATAATGACTACGAAACATATAAATTATAATTTTATAATTTGATTTGTAACATATTAGTTGGTTATTATTTTATTATTCAAGTAACCATTTTTCTTATACCATATTGATTCGAAACTTCAAAAGGGTTTCTAACTTTCACTTAATTAACCACTACCATTAAAAAGTTTTAAATTATACATTAACTTTAAACTAATTAATTACTACAAATCAATAATTTTCTCATTTAGGATAATTAATTATCCTTATTATATATAGTTCATATATAGATCATATTTTTAGAGTTTATAGAATAGTATGGAGAAAAAGATGATTAAGAATATATGAACTTTCATTTTGGGATATATATTTTTTTTATAGAATGAGAAAGAGGTAATCATGATATTTAAATATATTAATTTGCATAAGCTAACATATTTGTTGGTATTTTTTTTTATTGTTCATACGATCTTCTTTTATATATGAAATTATAAAGATTAATTCATGTTTACGTACCATGTTGTAAAAATGATTTATGAAATTATAAGTTTAATGAATGTAATATATGTTGTAAAAACGATTTATGAAATTATAAGTTTAATGAATGTAATATATGTTTGTCCAAAAATTTTGTAGTCTAAATTTTTATTTATAATCATTTTGTTCTATAACTCTTTTATGAGTTTACATAAGCTATTATTAATTTTATATATTAGAAATTGTTAATCTTATTTACGAATTACAGTTGTTAAATAACAAATTCAAATACCAATGAAAAATTATTGATTATCATTTTAATATTCTTTGTTACATAATATTTGAAATAAGTAGATATTGATATGGTAGTATATTTAGAAGAAAAATAATAAAATTAGGTTTTTTTTTTTTTTTTTTTTTTTTTTTTTTAATATTAAAACTTTCATTTCATTTTATATGATGACAAACACCATTAATACAAATAATAAATGAAAATGAAAATTTTGTAAGATAAAATATAGGAACCAAAATAGGTCAAAATACCAAAACAACAATTTTTGAAACCTGTTAGACGACGAACAGAAAAAAAGTTAGTAAACCACCGAGACAATTCTTTGCAATTTTTTGGATAAAAACATTTTTTTTAAAACAATGTCGAGTAAACAAGATATTATAAAGAAAATTATAATGTATAATATTATAAAACTAGAAGTTCAAGTTTTGGTTTATATTATATACTAAAAAAAAATAGAATAAATTACACGAATGGTCCCTATGGTTTAGGGTAAATTATGCGATGGTTCCCTAACTTATTTATTTAACTCGGAAGGTTTTTACTGTTTGTTTTTGTTATGCGTTTGGTCGATGTCTTACCTAAAAAGACTATTTTTCTCTTGATTTTTTAATTTATTTAAATAAACACACCCTCAACCTCTTCCCTTTCACTTTACCTTATCATTTTTCCCAATTTAAATAATAGTCTTTTTAGGTAAGGTAGAGACCAAATGCGTAACAAAAATAAATAGTAGGGACCAAGTGCATGATAAAAACAAACAATAGAGACCTTTCGAGTTAAAAAAAATAAGTTAGGGACCAAACACGCAAATTAACCCAAACCATAGGGACCATTTGTGTAATTTACTTAAAAAAATAATAAATAAATTTTCTTTTTTTGGAAATGGAACTTCCCTATCCAGGGTTTTCGGGTCAGTTTTCGCGTACCGATTAATCCCCCGCTACAAACATGAAACTTTGTCTCATGCACTGAAATCACTACAGACGAACCTCCATGACCACAAAGGCTGACTAGTGTCAGAATTTGAACATAGGTTTACCAAGTCACCACAATCCAAATGGTTAAATTAATTTTTCTTATTGTTTCCTAAATTAGGTTTACATCTGTAAAATATAATTTTTATTTCGTAAATTCCAATTTTATATATATATAAAACAAAAACATGGTTAAAAAGTATATTTAAACATATTTTTAAAATTTAAAATATTCACAATGACTATTTTATCTGTATGATTGTAAAACTACGCAACATGTAGGATTACGTCTAACGTGTGTGCGTGTGTGTCTATATATATATATATATATATATATATATATATATATATATATATATTATATATATATATATATATATATATATATATATATATATATATATATATATATATATATACCCTAAAATCGTATACTCTACAAGAAAAAGAAGAATTAGTGGCGATAAAAATTGCCGCTAAAGGTTGGATTTGTCGTTTGTAACGACGCTAAAAAATCGTCCATAATGCACTATCGCTATTGCTCATAGTATAGCCACTAAATAGTTTTTTTGCCGTTAACAATTGTGTCATCGGTAATACTATTTTTCGTTCTTTTTAAATCAAGACTTTTTGGGTGCAAAAAAAAAAAAGATACATAACAACATTAAATGTAGGAAAGATTATATAACGACATCTAATTAGGTATCAAAGAATTATAATTTCATATGAATGTCAAAATATTAAACAACAGAAATCTCATAAATTTATGTCACAACAAGTCTAACGTACAAAACACAAACTAATTATCCGATGAACCATCATCTCTACTTCCTCGTTTTCTCATTGATCATCAACATGCGGTTTCCTCGATTGAAAAAAAGCATAAAGTTCCTCACTACATACCGGGTCGTTGAGCATTGCACAAAAATTCCCCTTTGACGAAATCTCATAATAGGGAGTTACTGGTGGTGTGGTGCTCCTCGTTGGCCTAAATCGGTCAATGGTGCGCATGTCGAAAGAAATAGGGAAAAAATG